GATTAGTTACAAAATGAATCAGTTAAGCTAAGGTTTCTTGTATTCTTGTATCTCCACTGCAATAACATTAACATAAAAAGTCTAAAAATAGAATTGCGGAATAAATTCTCATTAGTTTTTTTTTTTTTAATAAGCCAACTTTATCCCTCTAAATTATCTACCACAATCTCTGCCTCGTTCCTAATTTTTATTGGTAAACATTTGTAACAGAGATTGTCAAACTGATTCACAAAACCTAAATGCAATGGAATTAATAACAGAATTGATTTAAAAATGTTCTTCAATTATTTTTAAAAAAAACTTCTGTCTTTGGTCCCTGGCCAATCACAGTGATATTGTCTCCATCACCTTGTCTCCAGATAAAGATAGATACTCCCAAAACATGCAATATCCATATGTCTCCTGCTTCAAATTTAGGTATCATCAGAAATCAAAATCTATTACTTTCTTGTAATACTGAAATCAAAATTCTCCAGGTTGCTTGCTGTGGTCCAGGATTGAATGTAGCATATTTCCTTTGCTTTAGTCCTGAGCCTTGGGCAGAGTTCTTTTGAGCATTGTGTGCAATTGTATTGTGCTTATATGTCACTGAATGTAAGTAGTTAATAAAGAATGAAGACGCATACAGTTTTGAGGGAAGAAATGAAAGATTTTGAAAAACAGAAATAATTGTTTATTTCCCTACATGTCGCTGCTCACAGATTTAAAATCAAAAGTTGGAACTAGGAAGCAAGTTATGGAATTAGAGAACATATTTTGGTAATAATACTGTAGAAATAAAGAACTGTAGGTCAGTGGGGCTTTAACAGAAATTGGTGCCTTGGGGAAGCTCTGCAACTGGAAGTCCCCATTGACTGTTTGTTGTTAAGTCCTCTGGGAAGGTCTCAATGACACTGCTACCATCATAAATACATGCCAGTTTCCAAGCGCCTGAACTCTGATCCCATGATGATGAGGACACTGCAGAAGTTATATGTAAAATTTCATTTGTTTCAGTGTTGTCAATAACTTTGAATGGTCACTGAATGAATGGTTCTATGTCAAGGACTATCTGTTTCTGAAAATTGCTAATTAGGAATTATCAAAACAGAATCGTCAAACACAATTTAGAATGCATAAGAACATAGCTCAAATATGGAAGCTTCCACAGAAAGCAATATATTAATAGCTTTGTATATTTTGGTATAAATGATTTAAATAATAATTTATGATTAAAATACAGTCCTTTATGCAGACCGATATATTGGTGGGTTCATGTCTCCTGGTTGTGATACAAGGGTAGTCATTACTCTTAATATTAAGTCGATGTATTAGAAATACTGCTTTGTGAGCGATCAAATCATGATTTAATGTGGCATCTGATTAAGTCAGTCTCTCCATTTGTAAAATTTTCTTAGTAGAATTCAAAGTTAATAAAATAGAAATGAAGGACGTTTTGATTTACAATATAATTATGTTTAATTCTACTTGTTTCATTTATAGCTTTATAGAACATTGAGTATTACTAATGATCTGGATGACTTAACTCCATCTTCAGATTCAACTACAGAGGATATTGAGTCACTTTCTTCCATTTATAAGGAAGCTATAGTCCTGATAGAAGAACTTAGTTTAGATTGTAAAGGTGAGCACATTTGTAGTTGTTCAAACATAAATGTTTTCTTATGAATACAAAATAGTGTTTCTTGGATAGCTGCTTTTTTATCAAGAATTATCAAGTTTTTTGACTCATCTTTCCGATATATAATGAAAAAGAGTCAACCAATTAAATAAAAAATCCCAGCATTCTCAGCCAGTATGACTGTTGGCTGTACTGGCTGAAAATAATAGGTGTTGTAGATCCTATTTTAGAATATGAATGTTCATTTAGACTACAGTTGCACTGAGTCATCATTTTCAGAAGCAAAAAGAGATATTTTTGAACTATCAAATAAAAAACAAAAAAGTCCATTTGCTTTTTGGAAAAGTATCTTTGGGACAACGACCTGGATGACTGAGAATCTCGATATCAAAGAGGATATTGAAAATAATAGTAGGTTTTCCTTCTGTTTTAATAATAGCAAGGGAGTTATGTGGCTTACAGGTATATCTTCCATTCACATAATTTATCAGAGACTTTGAAATTGTAGTTCCCTGAAGGCATGTAATATTATCTGAAAGGTATTCCCCTCACACATATGTGCTAGACGTTCCTGGCTCTAGGGGGTGGCTCTCATCTCAAAGCTGAAGCACTGTCCGAAGATGTCTCTGTGGTCATGTGGCCAGCAAGACTAAATGTCAAAGGCGCACAGAGCGTTGTTTCCTTCCCACCAAAGTTGTCCCTATTTTTCTACTTGCATTTTTTACGTGCTTTCGAACTGCTGGTTGGCAGAAGCTGGGACAAGTAACGAGAGCTCACTCCGTTACGTGACGCTAAACTGCCAACCTTTCTGATCAACAAGCTCAGTGTCTTAGCCACTGAGCCACCGTGTCTGTTCTAAGCCACCATGTCCCTTTATAATCTTTTACCATCTAATTACGTCAATAAGAATATTCCTTTTTAAAAGATTTAAAGAACTGTAATTAAAAAGCTCTTGAATTTATCTTCATCAGTTTTAGCAAAAACAGGAACTTATCTGTAATATCCAAGGTAATAAAATAATAAAATATTAAAATGCTAAGAACAGATGCCTTATTTAAATATCTATTTGATACTTGGTAGTTGAATTTACAATTCCCATACATAACTCTAAAATTTAATCATTAATCTATTCATGCCAGTATTCTATAAAAGCTTTTGAAAGTTATTACAATTTGTGCTTTTCCACATTAGTTAATAAAAAGTCATTAATAATTCTGATTTAGGACATGAGTTGAGCAGGCTTTGATTTAGTGTGAGCTGAAGAATGATGTTTTCAAAAAGAATGCAGTCAGCCTTTAGAGCTATGTGTTCACACATGCTCAGAGAAGATATTGTAGCTATATTTTAAGAACATTTAAAAAAAATAATGGATAACATGACTTATTAAAACTGGGATTATCTTGTAATTTGAAAACTAATGCCCAATGGTAATTAGTAAAGCAAAGGGAATTGGTTACTTTTTAAGTGCCTATTAAAAGTATAATTAGAGCTGCTGTCCTAATCAGTGGCATGTGTAGAAGGCATTAATATGAGGAGAAACATTCTGGAATTCTCTGACAAGATATACTTCCACAGAATGCCAGATTTGCCTCAAAATTACATGGTTCAAAAGAAATTTGGCTTTGTCTCAAGCCAAGCAATTGATATTAAGATCGCAATTTTGTAAATCCTCAACTGGCACAAATAAAATTTTGTGTATCTTGCCTTTTCTCCAGTTTCTGGCTGATAAAAGAGGTTTTACAAAAATTGTTATTCTGTATAATATTGCCAAGAAGTATTTTTCTTACCCCTAATCTCAGCCCTGATGACGGAAAGATACAGCACTGTCAGATCTGAAAAACGAATCCCTATGAAATGGAGGACAGGTCTTCTGGCAGTGCCAGTTCTCTGTGCATCACTACTAGCTCTTCACCTGGAAGAACATTGTTGTATTATCTGGCAAGGTTGCAAATAGTGATCCAGTTGCCAACTTGCCCCCGTTTGCCAGCTTGCTAAAGTAAACTAATGAGCATTGGAGAAAACCTTTTTGTGTTACTTGAATTTTCCTTCCATAATTTTTTCTTTACAGATAAATATAAGGACTATATTGCGATATAATTGCAGTAATTACATTACTGCAATGTAATATAAATAATTCAACTTAAAGAACAAAACTAATATATTCTGCTTGGATTTAAAAAAATATTAATATGAATATATATTTGTGTGTCTTTTTTTCATTAAATTGTAATGCAAAAAACATTTTAAAAAGTGAAGCCACATTGTTTCCTCAGTTATACTTTATTGATTACAAATAGTTACACAAGAAAGAAAATGGCCCAAAGAAGATATGCAACTCTGGAAGTTGAAATATGGAGCTTGTTTTTATCCTAGGCTATCTGGTTGGCCCAATCCTGTTACTAATTTTGTGAATGGTGACTTTACAGATTTTCTGGAACTAACCATGCTATGACTTTTTTGGGATAGCTTTTCTATGCCCTTGGGCTCCAAGGAATTCCTGAAAACAGGATTTAGATACCGTTTGCTATTGTAAAAAGATGGGTTTGTTGACTTTGGGATCCTCCCGAATAACTGAAGACCCCTGCAGTTTGACTATTTACAGAGACTGGGAGAGTAGTAGAGATGGAGGAGGATGAGCCTTAATAACAAGAAATGAGGGACTGCTTCCAATGTTTCATGCATTTGTCTCTTCACTTAAATGGATAATAAGTATGTGATAATTTCTGAGAAAGATCTATATTATACTTCCGCTATGGTAGTAGCAGCAGAAGTGACCAAGCAAGTGTAATGTTTATACTATGGTCTATAAAGAGTGGTAAAGTTGGTGTTTTGCCTGCTTTTTTCTGGTTATGAGGTGATCCTATTATCAATGCCTGATCATCTCCTTGTCATATGTTACTAACTTCCACAGGAGTTGGAGCTCTTCAAACATTTTGCTCTTCGTGTCCCATCCTTTCCACCCCCAAAATTTGTGACATTCCATCTCAAAATTTGCTCATGATTCCTCCCAGAGATCATAATCCACATTTTTAGTAAGTTTAGCCTAAAGCTAAGTAAACCTATCCATGTATTTTAAAAAAGTAATTGGATCCTGCTTCTTTCTTTGAGACTGACCCATTGATTATTTCTTAGCTGCCATTGAAGAAAACATTTGAGTATTTTTTCAGAGGATGGTTTTCATTCTTCTTTTTAATCAAATATCGTATTGGATAAATAATGTTAACACATGATTTTTTTTCCAAAGTAGATTCTGTAAATCTCTTGAAAGTTCAGAATATATTTCATGGATATGAACGACTAATTGAACATGAGAAGGGGCGTTATACTCAATTGCTTGAAAAAGTAAAAAAATTCAAAAATCAGAGAAATGAATGGCAAAAAAATCTGGAAGACTTGAAAGAGATGAAATCTATATTGGATCATCAAAAAGTACAATATGAAAGTGAAATCACCAGTCTGAAGTAAGAACTTTTAAATAAATAGTTGATCTTGGTATAATTTCTCCCAGCACTTTTTTGAGTTAAAGAAACATTAAAGAAATTGAATCAATTATTTATTGTTTATTATTATTTATTAAACTTGTTTGCTGCCCATCTCACCATAAAGCAACTCTTAATTTCTGTTTGGTTGTTAAACCATGTAATATTGTCTGAAATAAAAAGAAGATTCAAATTTTTAATGTGAAATGTATCAATTGGAAATTAAATGACAGATTAAACTATTTGATTCACTAGATTTAAACTATTTTGTCATAATCGGACCACCAGAGCAAGTAAGCAAAGCTAGTTCCATTTTACATGTACATTTTCTTGCTTTTCATGTATTTATTGCACAAATCTATCTTAAATGTTTACTCATGTATTCCAGATTTTGTCTGAAACAAGAGGAAGAAAAAAGAATAGGAGCTGATGTACTAAATGAGAAAAATCAAGAGCAGTTAAAGAAGAAAGATGAGCAGTACTGTATGCAGATGGAAGAAAAACAAGAGCTTGAATTGATGTTGAGAAGCAAAGAAATGGAGTTAAAAACACTAACAAACCACCTGAAACAGGTATAGTTAAATCAAAATATTTTTTTTGGATTATGAAAATAAACATATTCATGTTTTCCAATAACTAACATTTTAAATAAATATTAATACACCTGTTAAAATTTCTTCAATAACATGCTTCCCAAAAAGCCAGGGCTAACCTTTATAGAAGAGCAGTGCTTATCTGGTAAATCCTTTGCTCATCAGCAAAAAAAATCAAGCAGTATAAATGTCAGCAAATAATAGAATTAATATTAGGTATAATAATATAATGACAATGCCCAAAGAAAACTTTACACCTTCTCTAAGGTAGTAGCACTTGCTACCCTGTTAATAGAAAGGGGACCCCCCCCCCAAGGGGGGGTTATGAAGACAGGATGGAATTTTGCCAGCATCCTAAAGTAGTTTACATTTGAAAAACAGTTTGGGACTCTTATCGATTGACAGAATATATTTTGTAGTAAGAGCCTTGCATTTTTTTCCTTTGGTCTATAATAAATTGACTGATACAAGTGGTCTTCATTTAATGACCTTTTGTTTAGCAACCATTAAATTTGCAGTAGCATGAATGAGTGGTGGTTATGACCAGTCCTCAGAGTTCCAGTTGTTGCAGCATCTCTACAGTGATCGAGATATTCATCACCTGTTTCAAAAATATGATATAACTACAGCAGCCTACATTCATGTAGCCACAATATTCAGCATTTCCTGTTGGCTTCTCCCTAGCAGAGTCATTGGGGAAGCCACCAAGAAATCCTTACTTAATGACCTTTGGGATCCTCACTTAACAACAACAGCCAGGATTGCTGGAAGGTCTGTCACTAAGACGCATGGTCACGTAATGTCATTTTTATGACTGCATTGCTTAGCAGTGACAATTCTGGTCCCAATTGCTATTGTTAACCAAAGACTACCGTAATGTGATAAAAGGTCCTCTTTATTTTAATATTTTATACTTGAATAAATATTGTTGAAATTTTAGAAAACTCAATTAAATGTAAAAAAATATACAAAAACACAATTTAGGATTTATTTTTTTAATCGGAGGTAGCAGTAGCTTCCTGTCTTCTATGATGAGCTGCCTTTTTTATTTTGAAAGAGATTTTCCTATTAATTTCTTTATTACATGACTCAGTCTCTTAGTCTTTCTGTCCCATATTGATTTTTGCTATAAATTATTATCTAGTTGACTGCTTTTTATCTATATCTTTCTTTTTATCTTAAAAACATAAAGATTAGCAGTGGATCAGACACCTAGCCCAGCAATTTGCTTTCACAATGGCCAACCAGTTGCACAAGGAAGCCCATTAGTCTCCCACCTGTTGACTTTCAGAGGTAGTTAGACTGCTGTCAAGGCTAATAGCCATTGATCACCATGACTTTCATGAATTGGTACAGACTGTTTTTGGAAGCAAGTCACTCTGGTAGCCAACACCCTATCATATTGCTGTAAATTGCTAAGTTTAATGTTATGCTGTGTAATAAATAGTATTTTCTTTTATGTGTCCTGATTTTTTCAGGATTCAATTTTATTGGATAATCTCTGTTTCTCCAGCTGATGGTGCAGGACGGTCCAGAAGTGGGTTGTTCAATCTTTATTTGCCCAAGAGACTGAGTCACAATTGAAGCCATGCCTCCAGCTCCTTCCTGCTTGGCTCCAATTCTGACTCAGTCTTGCCCATAAAGAGACACAATTTTGGTTTGCTTGTGAGTTGGGATTTTAATTAAGTGATTTCTTTTTTGTTTTACCTTCTATTTGTTGTTATTTATTTTTTCCTGGATTGGTGGCTGATTTGTTCTCCAAATCGTTTTGCCTTGTTTCTTTGGTTTGGTTAGTCTTCTGTTTCTGTTGTTGGAGGTTCCCCAGTGTTGAGGGGAGTGCCGCTGGCCGCTAGCCGGTGTGGCTATCGGGTACTTGTTGTGGCTTCCTGCCTGTTGCCATGTCGCTGAGCTGCTGCTGGGAGAACAGCAGCAGCTGCGGTTGGGAACTCCTGTAATTGCCTCCTGGTTATCAGAGGCAGGCTATTCGGTGGTGCTGTGGATGCTGGGAAACGTTGGAAGAGCGACGGCACCTCCATGTGGCAGCAGCTGTGTTTGGCGAAGCCAGGACACTATTCTCATGGGCTTGTGGAATGACAGGGTTGTTTCGGCTTTTCAGGTGTTTATGGAGCTGTTTACCTACCTGTAATCGTCCTATGGGAAATGGCTGCCAGTGAGTACTACAGCCATCTTGAAGTTTCCTGGGTGGTGGCCATCTTAGTAAGATCCTCGTGGCGGTGGCTATTTTGTTTGAGGCCATAAGATGGCAGCCATTTTGGGTTGCCTTGTTGAGTCAAGATGCGGTGGCCATTTTATTCGCACTTCTCTGCCAGCACGGAGCTCATTTCGGCTGCTGACACCTGTAAGCATGGTCGCAGGTTTGAGAGCAGCAGCGCGGCGGCGTTTCTTCCAGCATGCTTTGGGCCTAGTGCATACGATCTGTGGGTGGGTGCAGCAATAGCTGATTCCCCAAGTGAAGATACCTCAAGCTGTCTCTTCCTCTCACAAGAAAGGCTTCAGGAAGAGGAAGGCTTCCTCGGCTGACCTTCCAGCCAGCTCTAAGCAGAGTGGCCCTACACATGGCAGCAAGGAGGATGGTGGGACAAAGAGGTCCAGGCAGGATGGTGGCAGTGGTGGGTTCTGGATCCCGTTCCAACCGGTATGGCTGCTGGTACGGTTGGAACGGGCTCAGCGGCGTCTACATGGACGTTCACAGCGTGCGCACACACACGCACAGCATGCACATGCATCTTAGCACCTCTGCGAGCCTCTGTGACACTCCAGCTGCTCCACAGAGTGTCGTGCAGGCACTGTACTTGCCCTGCGTGGAAGCGTGGAAGCCTTAAAAGACAGGTTAGGAGCTCGGATGGGCACTCCAGAGCACCATAACAGAACAGATGGTATCTGGTACTCAGGGTAGGCTCTGGTACGCCTGTACTGGAACCAACGTTCCATCTAGTATTTTGGGAACCAGAAATTAGCTTCCCCTTGTCTGCTTGCATCCACAATTGATTTACATAAGAATATTATATTTCCATCTCCCTTTCGGGGGATGGTTATCTATAGTATGTTATCCATAGTATGGTGTAGGCTTTTTTTACAAGAAATATACTCTGTCAACTATAATGAAATGTTTATGATTACTTCAGGATCTTTTCCTTATTAGTCACTACTAGCTGTGATCCCATTTTTAACATCAATAGCATTACTTTACAATTGCTCATGTTGAATGATAACTGCCATTTAGACACTAGGTCTCCGGTTTCCTAATGTGCAGATAACTGTTTGGAGCTTTTTGCTATTTATTACTGTTTTTACCATTTTTTTGTTTTAAACTGTTTTATTTCATTTTCATTTTCATTTTATACAATCACTTATATACTGTGCAAAAAAAAAAAAAAAAA